AAGTTTTGTTTCCCAATTTGACTTAATGGTCTTGAAAAGTTGAGATTATAGCCTGGTAGGTTTTGTTTTGTTTTCTGCAATGCTTAACAAATATTGGGGCCTTGCCCTAGCGGGTGACAGTTGAGACAATGTATCCAAGAATATCTGCGGCAAAGAGGTGAAGGGAAAGACTGTTTTCTGTTTTGTTTCCTTTCAGAAATGGCAAGTTCTAGTCCTGCATACTTGGAGATGGAAGAAGGAGACCTGCCCACAGGGTTGCAGTTACTGGATGGCTCGGTCCCTTCAGATAGTCCCTTGTTGATGGCATTTGCCACCCGGTAGGTTGTCCTGTTTGTTTGTGGGACCCTAAACATCTGCAGTGTTTTTATGGCTTAGTATCTAAAGTGTGACTCACTTTGCATATCGTGCAGCTTATTATTATTTACTTTTCTTTCTAGTGAGTCCATAGTATAACAAATCTTACTATGGCACTGAAGTTGGGGACTGATGTGCTTTGTTTTCAAATGCAGATTGTATGATAGATTTGGGGAGTCTGCCCTTCGAGCCTTCATCAAGTTTTATCCATCCATCTCACCTTCGGACATCGCACAGCTTTGCCGTCATCATCCCGCTCAGTTTTTGGCCTATCTAGACAGTCTGGTGAAGTCAAGGCCTGAAGACCAGTGGTGAGAAGGCCTGTGTAGTCTCTGTTTAGGTGGAGCGTTGTTTCTATTGTGTCCCATTCAGTTGTCACATTTTCACTGCCAGCCATCAGGACGTCCGGGCACCTACTGTGGAAGATGAGGATTTGGGCAGTTTTCTACCGCCCCAGCACACACTTTACCCCCCTTCCCCTGCACAGCGTGAATCCCCTTACACCACAGATGCACACATACCACACTTCATCCCCTGTCCGAGATAGTCCCAGGTTCTCCGTGTAAAATTAAATCCCCCATGCTGGAGAGATGGCTAAGCAGATAGGAGGGAGCACTTGCTGCTCTTGCAGGGGTCCCAGGCTCCATTCCCAGCGTTCACATGACAACTCACAACAGTCTGTGACTGTAGCTATGGAGATCTGAGTGGCCTGAGGTACTACATACATATGATGCATATACATGCAGGCAACACACACACACATAAAATAAAAATAAATAATCTTCAAAAAGCAAATAAATTCTTGACTCAGCATGGGTTCAGCCAAAGCTGATTCTCCTTCCCCTGCCAGTGATGCTTTTCCTTGCAATAGCCCGGCATTCGGGAGTGGATCTCTATTCCTGCTTCTTTTCTTTCATGCCGGGCCATCATTTGTCCTCCCCATGACAGTAAACTCCCGATTAATGATAAGTCTGGAAGCTCTTCTTCCTTTTCCATGTTTGCCACTCGGGACCCCTCCTTCCCCACTCTGGTGCTCACACCCTCTTTCCTACCTCACTGTCGCTTTTTCCTCATCGCCTTACAGCTTGCTCACTCACTTAGTGGACTGATGGTCTCACTAGCATCTCTAGCCGTTTGTAGTAGAGGAGCTTCCAAGTTATCCTTTATCGTTTTCTTTACATCCACACACTTTGTTTTCTCTCATGAAGATCAATGTTATTTCTCCCCAACTTGCTCTCAGGCCATCCTTCCTTGAGTTCCTTCTACAACCAGAATCTCTGAGACTTGACTGGCTGCTGTTGGCAGTGTCCCATGATGCTCCACCAAGCACAAGCACAGTAGATGATGAAGGGCATCCCAGGTAAGCGTCCTCCTCTGTGAGCCTTCCCTCAAAGTGGAACTGATAGTTTCCCTTGTAGCATCCAGGCTCACTTTAGGAACAGCAGTAGAAAAACTTAACCAAATACTGGGAGTAACAAGATTGTGTGTCCACGTACATTCTTGTAGTTCTGAATACTGTGAGTGAGGTTACAGACCCTGTAAAAATCTCACAGTTTCTTTCAGAAAAATGCACATTCATGTAAAAATTTGCACATAACTTCAAAGAATTAAACTGGCCTCCCTGCAGTTCTTTTGGAGACCCACAGTGAACCCTGGATTAGCCCATTTTAAAAGAAAAAAAAAAA